GGTTTAGGGTTTAGGGGTTTCGGTCGAAGGGTTTAGGGTTGTAGCGGTTTCGGTTTCAGGGTGTAGGGTTTAGGGTTTAGGGGTTTAGGGTCTAGGGGTTTAGGGTTTAGGGTCTAGGGGTTGAGGGGTTTAAGGGTTTAGGGGTTTCGGTTCAAGGGTTTAGGGTTTAGGGTGTAGGGGTTTAGGGGTTTCGGTTTGAGGGTCTAGGGTTTAGGGTTTAGGGGTTTACGAGTTTAGGGTTTAGGTTTAGGGTCTAGGGTTTAGCGGCTTAAGGGTTTAGGGTTTAGGTTTAGGGTTTAGGGGTGTCGGTGTAAGGGTTTAGGTTTTAGGTTTTAGGGTTTAGGTTTGAGGTTTGGGGTCTAGGGGTTTGGGGTTTAGGATCTAGGGCTTTAGGGTTTAGGGCTTAAGGGTTTAAGGGCTTTGGGGTTTAAAGGTTAGGGGCTTAAGGTTTAAGGTTTTAAGGGTTTAGGAGTAAGGGGTTTAGGGTTAAGGGTTCAGGGTTAGGGGTTTGCGGCTTTAGGGCTTAGGGTTTAGCATGGTCTTTGGGCCCAAGGGCCTTGAACTATGGGTCCTTATGCTCTTAAAGTGACCCCAAACCCTCAACCCCTAAACCCTTAAACCCCTAAACCCTAAGAAAACCAACAAAACACAAAGGAGCAAAGGCGGCCACCGGGAGACCAAGGTGCCTCTGGACTGCAAACCAGGTAGGTAAAGTCTGTGTAGGAGCCTGGGCCGTGCTTCTTGAGGCTTCGGGTGAAACCCTAAACCATAAACCCCAAAAACCAAACCCTAAAACCCCCTACCCTTGTGTTTCTTGAGGCTTTGAGTGCTGGTCTTCAGGGGTTTCGATGGTTTGGGGCTGGGCTCTAGGGGCTTACGAAGTTGAGGGCTTCAGGGGTTTAGGGCTTTAGGGGCTTTGGGCCCTAAGCCCCCAAACCCTAAACCCTAAACCCTAAACCCTAAACCCTAAACCCTAAACCCTTAAATGCTTTAGGGGTCTGGGGCCTGGGCTTTGACAGCCGAGGAACGTCGGGAAGACAGGGGCACCCGGATCTGCCGTGGATCGGCACCCGAGTGTAGCCTGCAGTGATCTTCGAGGTGCTGCAGAATCACATGGCTTGGTACGCCCTAAGAAATATACCATGTACACATGTAAGCATGTATATATATATATACAGGGAGAGAGAGAGAGAGAGAGACATACACAGTTCTGTTCATGTGTACATTTATGCATGGACATATTTCCTCACATGCACATATTGGAAAAGATTTGAAACGCGCGAACCATGCTAAAGAACGGCCCAGAAGCAGCCACTTGATGGCATTGATCAAAGGTGTCTGGTCTGTGGCAAGTCCACTCGAAGCAACTCCCTCCAAGATCGCATGATGCAAAGCAGGCACGTCGTAGACTCCACCGCAGGTGCTCCAATCGAATCCGACCGGAGTAAATCTCTTCAGCCCCTCCACTTCGCCTCGTTCCAAGAGCCCAAAGATCACCTGGGAACCCGAAATCCTAAACCCTAAACCCTAGATCCGAATTCCTGAACCCTCAAACCTAAATCCTAAACCTGAAACCCTCAACCCTGAATCCTAAGCCCTAAACCCCAAATCCCAAAATGGCGGGAGCCGGTTTGGATGCTGCAAAGATTTGGGGAATCTCTGAGTTCGCGGGGAGAGGATCAAGAGTGCTTCAGCGGCGCGGCACCCATTCTTCTCCGGTTTAGGGTTTAGGGTGCAGGGTTAGATCTCTATATATATATATATATACACATACGTATATGTGTATATATATATATACATGTAAATATATATATATATATATATATATGTACACACACGCATGGAGACATGTATGCACAATTGTATCTGTTGGTCCTGGCATAATGTACTGTATGTACAGTGTTACATATACACACCTCGGAAGATGAAGATCCTTGGACCAGCATCTTGCACAGTGAAATGCACCAATCTTGAAAATTCCACAGTTGCGCTCAGGCATGCTAGGTAGGGTTCTCGTGTTAA